TGGTACCAGGTCAAACTCAGGAGGCAGGCAGTGGAACCACTGAGCTAAATCCCCGACACTCAAAAATATATCCTTGATGATGCCAATTTGGATCTGATTTACAATTTGGCAAATGCACAGTCTGGCTTTGGTGACCTTTATTTTGAATGGTCTGTATTTTAATTTTGATCCAAGTGGCCCTTGCCTTGAATCTCATCTCACATGCATTTAGCTGCAGAATAGTCTCAGGTTAAATTAATCTAATTACTTTGAGAATGGAAACAGCATTAGTGAGTTGGAGTGGGTTGGTGGGCTTTGATTGTGTCAATAGTCTAAATATAAACACCTACTTTATAAATAGCTCTCATAATTAAAAATGTCTCAGTGCATTTTAAAATGCCAACTCTGTCACCTTTTTCCTAAATTCATTTCCTTGCTTCAGAGTGATAAAAGGGTATAGAAAAATAAGGATGTACTTCAGAATGCATTCATGTTCCAACATTCGGTTTCAATGGATGCCTACAAAAAAAGTTACTTTCCCATCTTCTTGGGTCTTGCATTTTTCCTGCCCAGTTACACATGGTAAATGCAATTGTTGATGGAGTTTCTCCTGGGTAAAGCTATTTAAATATGAATTGCTTTATCCCAGTGTTATTGTAAGCTGCCCACAAAGGTGGGCTAGGAAAGCAGGGCGCCTGCTCTGTACCTGCCATTTGTCTGCCTGCCATTCCTCGTGAGACCTTGAACACTCAGTTACCTTAGCCTGCTGCACTGAGTCAAGCAGTGCTGGGGTTAGGTGTGGTAGAGCACACCTGTAATCCCAGCACTGGGGAGGCCAAGGCAAGAGGAATTGCTGCAAGTTTGAGGCCAGCCTGGGCTACATAGTGAGACTCAGTCTCAAAATATATACATAATAAATAAATAAATAGTGCTGGAGATAAAGTGCTCAGTGTTTCTCAGTCCCTGACTCTCTTCTCTGCTTCCACAAAATGGGACTGAGGGAGAGGGACATGTTAACTACTTGAATCACCATGAAATTAAGAGTAAAGGGGTTCTGGGACTCAGTAAAGGCCCTGAGTGCTTTGGTTCATCCTCCCACGACCCTGCCTTCTACTGTTGCCCAGTTAATCTGGGACTGCTCTCCCCATTGATCCTTGCAACTAAGTTAGCTACACAGCTGCTCCGACAACGGGCCTCTTTCCAGGATTCAGAGGCAAGGCCTGGTGCTCTGCTCCTCCAGGCCTCCGGCTAGTGTTAAACCATCCTCCTCATGGCCCCTGTGGTAGGGTCATTTCCTTCATCACAGTGGCCCACTCCCTTCTCAGTTGCTTTCTCTCTCTTGCCTCAAGAGGGAACATCTGGACTCCCTCCCTATATTATAGTAACTGACATAGTCACTGTGACCCCAGATTCCTCAGAAATGGCCCTCTTGTTGCAGGACTAGTATGATCTCCTCCCAGAGTCCAAGAACAAACTAGAAAAAACAAAATGTCTCTGCTGTGGGCATTCCTCTCCACATTCCTCAGATTTCCCCCAAAATGCAGAGATGAGGAATCACAGAATTTACTTCCAGCCTCATGTGACATTCCCCAGGTCCACTGTCCATTCAGGTGGGAGGGAACCTTTCATTCCCCTTTCTGAATACCTGAAACTTCCCTATGTCAAAACCCCTCCTTGCCCGCTCATCTCCAGGTTGAGGCTCAATGACAGACAGAGACAGCATGTGGGAAAGACCTACTCACCCATACAGGAGCGACATCAGGAGGCATTTCTAAAATAGTATGCCTCTTCTTTAAGCCAACAGGAAATATATCATCTGGTTCAGGATGAAAAATTCTAACTTGATTTGGATCCAAATGCAGTTAGGAATTTATTAGATGCCAAATATCTGTCAGCCTTTAAAAACAAGGAGTTTTCTGCTAGGTACTATATGTTTCATATGTTTCCATTTATATAACACTCGGGGAAAGACAAAGATACAGGGGCCAAAAAGAGCTCTGAGGTTTGGCTGTGGGTGGAGGGCAGGTGTGATGACAAAGGAGCAGAGAGAAACGCTTGAGGATGGCAGAACTGCTCTTCACAGTGGTCCAGTGGAGGTTGTATGACTGTGCAGGTTGAGCATCCCCAACCCGAAAATCCAAAATGTTCTGAAATCCAAACTTTTTTAGTGTGACAGAACAGTTCCCATTTCCAGATTAGGAACATTCAGCCAGCAAATTCCGTGTGAATTTTTCAAAATCTTAAAATTCCAAAATCTAAATGCTTCTGGTCCCAAGCATTTCAGATGAAGGATAGTTGACCTGTATATGTTAAAACTCATAGAACTGTGCAATAAAATGACTGGATTTATTCCTATGTAAATCAACTCAACAAAATTGACTTTTATTTTAAAAGAATGATAGGCTTTCATATTCATTTGTTGAGCACTTACAAAATAATGCACTGCTGAGCATGGTGACGCACACCTGTGATCTCAGCACTAAGGAGGCTAAGGCAGGAGGATTGCCATGAATTCGAGGTCAGCCTGGGCTACATAGTGAGACCCTGTCTCAAAAAAACAATAAAGAAAAGCACTGTTCTAACCACTGTTAGTGCATTTAATCCTCACAATAACTCTACTTAGTTATTAGAATGTACTATTATTATTACCATTTCCACCTTTTAGATAAGGGACTTGAGATCCAGAGAAGTTAAGTAACTTGCCCAGGATCACACAGCAGGTACAGCTAGAATTAGGACCCAGGTATGTCTGATGTCAAAGTCTACGGGTTAACCACTATGTTATATGATCTCTCTAGATAAACGAGTAACATTTGTTTGCCCTCTTCAGAGTCTTTACTTCAATCACATCTACTCTCATATTAGAAAATAACAGTACACAGTGCACCATAGCACACACTCATCCTGGGAACATTTTCTCCAGTTACCCTAATCTAACATCCTCAGACCAAAAACCCCTTTGTCAGTAGTTTTATGGGGTCTAAAAGTGAGTCAGAGCTGGTGACTGTTGGTTAGGAAGATCTTTCAGAGATTTCTAGGGGACTGTGCAGCCCACCACACCTGACTTCCTGACCAGGACCCCAATTTACACTCCACAGTGGGGGCTTGCAGTTCTGACCAGATACCACAGTAGCCTTGCACAGCAAAATGAAAACATCAGCTTCTTTCCCTGTGAGCAGAGGGCTCCCTTTTCCCCAGTCCAAGAACTGCCAATCCTACTGCTGCAGGTAGCCACAGAGTGAAGCCTAATCATTAGTGGCAGATCTTGGATCCACCTGCGACAGGATGTGGCGGAGACTTCCCAGCTGCTTTTCCCTATGACAGACTGCTTTCCGTACTCCATCACAGAGCGCTCCCTTGCAGGACAGTGGTGATGTCACCAGGCTGGGGCTGAGCATCCCTGAGGCTGAAATAAGGCACCACCCCACCATTTAAAAATAAGTTTGCGGGTTCACTGACTCCCATCGTGGAAAAAGAATTTTCTGGATCTGTAAGAACTGTGAGAAGAGTTTATTAGAGGGAGAGTTAGGACACACTCAAGAGTGGAGTATGGACGTTCAGAGAGAGGACATGTGCCCAGAGCTAGGCACATTTAAGGGTGTCTTCAAGATGGGAGATCTAGGACATGCGTCCTCACTGTCAGGTTATGTGCACACCATCTATACGTGTTTGACATTGAAAATGACAGGTTAGGAGCCCAGATTTACAGGCTTATTGTAAAAAAGACTTTCAGGGTTTTTTGGGGTTTTTTTAGAGAGTTTCCAGGAAAAGAAAAAAGGCTTGAGTAACTTTTATGTCCTGAAGCAGTTTTTCTTAAAAGCACTATTTTATTTATTTATTTTTCCCATTAAATTTATTGGTACAATTTCTAAAATAGCATGTCTCTTCTTTAAGCCAACAGGAAATATATCATCCTTGTCTTGTTCCTGATTTTAGTGTGAAGCTTTTCAGTTTTTGGCCATTTAATATGATGTTGGCGGTTGGTTTTTCATATATAGCTTTTATGAAGTTGAGATAAAGACCATCTATTCC